GGGGGGGGAGGAGCAAACATTTGACGTGTCTGTGAAACGGTTTTTGATACAACGAACATTTATCACAAACCTTTACAATTAAAAATAAAACTGAAGAATCGTGGCTATGAACCTAGCAATATTAGAAGGAGGAAGAGGAGGAGGAGTTTGGATTTATACCCTAGTCTACCCCACTCATTACTACCCGAAGGTTTACTACAGAGTGGCTTACCATCTCCTTCCCCTCCCCACAACAGACACCCGGTGAGGTCGGTGGGGGCTGAGAGAGAACGGCCCTCGAGAGAGCTTGTGACTGACCCAAGGTCACACCAACAGCTGAATGCGGAGGCGTGGGGAAATCTAACCCGGTTCTCCCAGGTTAGAGTCCGCTGCTCTTAACCACGGCACCAAAGAGACAATTTACACCAAAAGCGACAGGATCTCCAGTGCTGCTCAGGGAGAGCGCTCAGAACAAAGGCAGATTTGAGCAAACGTTAACACAAGGGGAAAAAGAGACAGCCCCAAAGGTGGTGAACGTAAAGAAATGGGGGGGGGCTGCCTCTCTCCCCCCTGTGGTCTTCCAGGGTGCTTCTTGCTCCTGCTGTTCTGGGGTCCCTTCCTCTGGCGTTGTTGTTCAGTCTATAAGGCAACTTCAGGTCTCTTTGTCGATCTGCCGCTCGGACTGCGTTCTGGGGCTCTTCTACCCGGCAACAGTTAGGTCACCACGCGGGCCTTTTTCTCATTGGCTGTCTCTCTCCCTCTCTCCCTCCGCTCCGCTGCCCCATTGCTGCCCGGCGCTCCCCCCGCACTGGACACTCGTCCCGCGTCTGCGATGGCCAAAGGAATGAAGGGCTTGGCCGGGTACCTGTGGCTGCTGCTGCTGCCTCTCCTGGGAGGCCACCTGGTGGCAGGTAAGAGCCGCCCCCAAAAAGTCCCCGCAAAAGTGCTTTTCTGCGGGGAGGGAGAGATGGGGAACCCTGGCAGGGAAAATGGATAGTGGGGCAGGGAGAAGGAAGGGGGAGGGCGAGTTGGTGGGCTCAGAATCGCCTTCCGCAGACTGGACTCTCCCTCAGACTTTTCCTTTGCCTTTCCATGAAGTGCACACACACACACACACCCCGGGAAGCAAGCAGTGTTCCCTCTAAGCCGACTTAGTGTGAGTTAGCTCACAATTTTTTTATCTTCCAGCTCACACATTTTTGTCTTCGCTCAGGAAAGATAGCTCTGGAGGAAACTAATTTATGCAGTAGTCAAATAACTCACAACTTTAATGCCAGTAGGTCACACAGTGGAATTTCTGCACACAAGATTCCACAGCTTAGAGGGAACATTGGAAGCAAGTGAGATCCACAACTGACCCTCCCCTAAAAAAAACAGCAGAGAAGTAGGGGGAGGGAGAGACTGGAGTCTGTGCTCAGAATTACTGGTGTGGTGGTTTGGTGTCCTGATTAAGTGCGTGGACTCTAATCGGGGAAAACCGGGTTCGATTCCCCACTCCTCCTCCACTTGCACCTGGCTGGATGACCTTGGGCAAGCTGTAGTTCTGTCAGAGCTGTTCTCTCAAGGGCAGTTCTTGAAAGAGCTCTCTCAGCCCCGCCTACCTCACAGGGTGTCTGTTGTGGGGGAGGGAAAGGAGACTGAAAGCCGCTCTGAGACTGGGGTAGTGAAGGCGGGGTGTCAATCCAATCTTCTTCTTCTTCTGGGGGGGGGGGCGGTGCCTCTCCTCAGCCTCAGTCCGGAGGGCTCCCCACCTGCCTTGATTCCAGCCCCAGAGGTCCGTCTGTCTGAAGCTGACCTTGCGTGGAAGGAAGGAAGGAGACTCAAAGACCCCTCTGACTCTGAGAAGGGTCAGTCCAAAGGCCCCTGCCACTGCAGCCCCCCTCCCTCTCCGGGCTCCCTGGACCCCACAGTCGGGGATCCAGCCCCCCCCCCCACAGCCCTTGGCCTGCGGGGTTGGGGGAAGCTCTCTATCTTTCTCTGCCTGGGACCTGAGCCCCCGGTGCAAATTCTGCTGGTTTTGAAGAGCTGGTTCAGAGCCCTTTCTCCTCCAGCTCCGGACAGGTGAAGGAGGTGCCCCCCAGGACCAACGGGGGACCCCTGCCCGGCCGCTGGCTGCAAAGGTGGAGGTGAAGGTGGTGGCCACAATCCTTTCCCACCTTCCTCACCCTCTTTTTCCTCTGGGAGGGGGCAGGGCCACAATCCGGTGCCTTTCAACAGCGCAGACTAAGACAGGCTCACTCGACCAGGATCGCAGCCCTTTGCAGGGGGGAGGGGCTTCCTTCACACCATCCCTGCAGGGCTGGCGCCAGGCGCAACAGGGCTGACGATCGGGGAGGGACTTCCAAGAGCCACTCTGACACTGATACAGGCCAAATAACCGAAGGAAAACAAATCGCTTGCCCGGCTGCCACCACCCACCTAGAAGAAGAAGAGGATCCACATGTCCATCGCTCTGTCCGTCTGTGGCAGGCATAACTCATCAGAAAACAAAAGTAGGGATCCCAAAACCTACCACCAGCTTCAGGGAGATTATGGGAGTCCCGGGGACAAAAATGAAAGGAATTGGAATATCCTGGCCCAGGTTCCCTCTAAGCTGAGTTAGTGTGAGCTAGCTCACAGTTTTTTTAGCCTCCAGCTCACAGATTTTCGCCTTAGCTCAGGAAGGATGGCTCCAGAGCAAACTAATTTATGCAGCAGCCAAATCACTGGCTTACAGCTTTAATGCCAGTTGCTCACAAAGTAGAAGTTTTGCACACAAGACTCCACAGCTTAGAGGGAACATTGAGGTTGTGCCTGTGCTTCCGCCCACAAATGTCAGACTAGGATCTGGAGAAACCGAGGTTGAACCCCCCCCCCCCGTCTGCCATGGAAGCCTGCTGGGTGACCTTGGGCCCGTCAGTCACCGACTCTCAACCTCACCTACCTCGCAGGGTTCTTGTGAGGATAAACTTGAGGAGAACCATGTAAGCTGCTCTGGCTCCCTCTTGGGAAGAAAGGCAGGGAAAGGACAGACAAACAAATTCTGGCTTCTGTTCCTCATTTGTTACCACCAAGGCAGACAGACATTTATTATTATTTATTTATTATTATTATTATTTATTATTATTATTATTATTATTATCATGCATGACCAAGGAAACGTCTTCGGACAGCGCTGGCTCTTCGGTTTTGAAACGGAGATGAGCACCGCCACCCTAGAGTCGGACTCGACTGGCTTTCAAGCAAGGGAACCTTTACCTATGTAGAAAGAGGGGAGTTCATACGATCAACAAAGGTTTCCTGCTACACTCCTACTGAAGACATTCTAAGCTGCCAACCCAGGATAGATGAGCTGAGACTAAAAACAAGGTGGAGGAGTGGGGAATCAAACCCAGCTCTCCCAGATTAGAGTCCGCGCACTTAACCACTACACCAAACTGGATCTGAGGGGCAGAGCTCACAGGGGAGGCGCTGGATCACGTCCCTCCTCCTGCTTCTGCTAAGCCGTTTTCTCTCTCCCTGATACCAGCATGCCCGAGCCCCTCCCAGAGACGGCAGAGAACGTGGTGTGTGGCCTTGGCCTGGCCGTGGGCATTGTGGGCATCATCGTGGGCAGAGTCCTCATCATCAAGAGCCGGCAGAAGGACGAGGGCAACTTCCGCTGGAGGCCCCTGTGAGTCTCGCCGGCAACCGCCAGTCCCAAAGATGTGTGTGTGTGTGTGTGTCTCATGCAGTGTTCCCACTAAGCTGAGTGAGTGTGAGCCAGCTCACCGTTTTTTAGCCTCCAGCTCACAGATTTTTGTCTCAGCCCAGGAAGGATGGAGCTCCGGAGCAAACTGATTTGTGCAGTAGCCAAATCTTTAATGCCAGTGGCTCACAAAGTAGAATCTTTGCTCACAAGACTCCACTGCTTAGAGGGAGCATTTGCTGCCATATAGGGGTGGATTTCTCCCTGTGAGGGGGGGGGGGCTGGAAGTGTGGAGGGAAAGGGAGGGGCTGGGAAGAAGAGCTCTTCCTTGTAAGTGGGGGGAAGGGTGTGGGGAGGAAGACTTTCAAAGCCACACCGGAAGTTTGTGATGCAGGGGTCTGTAAATCTCGGAAGGGGGTTCCTCTTTGGGGAACCTCTTTGGCCAGGCGCATTCTCTCACCTGCCCTGTTCTCCTTCCCTTACAGGTAATCGAGGTGCCGTGCCCTTCATGTCGAGACCTGTGCCTGCCTCTTTCCCGACCCGCATCCTTCGCTGCTCTTTTCTTGGCAAGGCCTTTCCTCCTAGGGAGGAAGCTTTCCTGATCCCCAGCAGCCTTTAATGTGACTCCTCCCACCAATACGGGGCCCACACTGAAATGGTCCTGCAGGGGCCCAGCCGGGTAACCACCCATGAAGGGGTGAAAGAGGGTCCCCACTCAGCGTTGCCCCCCATGGGAGCCCCCCCACAAGGGTTGCAAGCTTCAGCCTCCTGATGTGCCCACAGCAGTTTTTCCTATGATCAAAAAAGACCTCCTCAGGAAAGCTCCTCAGGAAACCATTTGCAAAAGAACCTCCTCAGGAAAGCTCCGTTCACAGCCTGGGGAACGCCTACAGGATAATGACTCAGCCCTGTCCCACCTTCCTGAGGAGATACAAATTACCTGCCCACCATGTTTCTTCTCACCTTGACACAGAGAGTACTCAAAAAATCTACAACCAGAAAATCTACAATAGCTAATGAACTCTGGCCGTGAAAGCCTTCGACAAGCATTCATGGGCACTCTGTGA